CTGGTCCAGGGCACGCGACTTGCTCAGAGCCAGACAAGCTACTTCTCTGCCACTAGGTTCTGGGCAAGTTGGATTCTTGCCTGGGTCCAGGCAAGGTGAGATCCTGCTACTCAGGGCTGCTTGTTAGATGGTATCAGCCTAGTACAACTTATGGTGAACCTATGAATGACAGATTTGAACCTGATCCTATCCTGTGCCATCATTATCATCCCTGACACCCTTGAGCCCATTGCTGCAGTGACCATGTCAATCTGTCTCACTGTGTGTCTTTTGCCGACCCTCCACCTTTCCAAGGGGGCTCTGGTGGTCGAGTGGTAACAAGATGTGCTGCCCTTTCCAAGGAACAACCTCTCCTAGCAACATCCTCAAAGCATGTGAGACGAAGCTTTAGCATCTTTGCCTCCAAGGAACACTCTGGCTGCACCTTGTTCAAGACATATCGGTTTGTTCTTTTGGCAGTCCATGGGGTAGTCAGTACTCTTCCCCAGCACTACAACTCAAAGACATCAATTCTTCTGTAGAACTTACTCATTGTCCAGCTCTTAGATGTATAACAAGTGATTGAAAAGATCATGGGACACTTTAGTCTTCAAACTGACATCATTGCTCCTCAGTAATTTGGAGAGATTCCTGACATGAGACTTACCCAGTGCAATATGTCTACTGATCTCGTCCGCTGGCACCAAGAACGTTCATTGTGGATCTGAATAAGATGAAATTGTTGACTATCTCAATCTTTTCTCCATCTACCACGATGTTGCTCCTTGATTGAATGATGAGGATTTTTGTCTTCTTGATGTTCTGGAGCCTTTTGTAGCAAGGATTTCAAGTCCTCTCCACTTTCAGAAAGCACAGTTATATCATTTATATAATGCAGATTGTTGATGAACCTTTCTGCAATCCTGATGCCACAGTCATCTTCATGAAGTCCAGCTTCTTTAATGATTTGCTCAGCATACAGATTGAATAGGTATGGAGAAAGGGCACCGCCCTGACGCACAACTTTCCCGATTATAAATTAGGCTATGTTCCATTGTTCCCTTTGGATAGCAGCTTCTTGGTGTAGATGTAGGTTTCCAACCTATATGAGCACAATTAAGTGCTCTGGGATTCCCGTTCATCTCAATGTTAGTCATGGTTTGTTATAATACACACAGTCAAATGCCTTTGTATAATCAATAAAACACAAATAGTCTTCTGATACTCTCTGCTTTCAGCCAGGATCCATCTGACATTAGCAGTGATGTCCCTGGTCTCTTCTCAACTGCTTGAACTTATGGTAATTATCAATGTACTAATTCTAGCTGTTTGTGTTTGGTGTTTTTTTTTAAGATCTTCAGCAATATTTTGCTTGCATGTGATAGTAATGATATTTTTGGTAATTTCCACATTCCTTTAAATCATCTTTCTGAGAAATGGGAAGAAAAACCGGATCTCTTCCTGTTATTTAGGCCAAGCAGCTATCCTCCAAGTTTCCTGGAATAAACTTGTGGGCACGTCCAGGGCGGCATCTCTTAGCTGAAGTATGTCAATTGCTATTCCATTGATTTCTGGAGCCTAAATTTTTTGCCAATGCCTTCAGTGCAGCTTGAACTTCTTTCGTTAGCATTGGTTTCCTTTTATTATCCAATTCTAGGTCTCTGCCCATTCCATTGTAATACTTTATTTTATTGAGCTGCCCTTTGAAATGTTCTGTTCAGCCCTTTGACTGTGGCATTTCTTCCTTTTCTGATGCTATAGTTCAATTTTCAGTGTTCTTCTTATCTCCACTTGATCTCTTTTTTCTCCTCTTTGTAGTGACCCTTAATTTTTTCATGGTTTCGATCTTTGATGCCACCCCAATGATCTTTAATCATTAGCGTTCAGTGCCTCACATCTCTCTGCTTGGGACCATGCAGGCTTTATTGCTGCTGCTTATGTTCTGAGCCCACTGTGTTCCTACCTCGCAGGACCACACAGGCTTCGTTCTCGCTACTTCGATTCTGAGCAGGCTGGGTTCCTTCCACCTGGGGCTGAACAGGCTGCTTTTCTGCAGCTCAATGATTATAGACATGTGACTTCAAGAAGGCTTAATATTACTTCTAAAAGTCTATTGTTTATAACCAGCTGAACTTCCTGTTGTTTACCACTGCCTTGGAATCAGTTTCAATTAATGGAGAGCTTCCTTCAGGTTTCTGAGTCTATAAATCTTTATTTGAGATAATTATCATCTTCTGCTGTGAAATTGCTGGTGGATTAGAACTGGCCAAGTCATCAAGCCTCCTTTTCTATTGAATCAAGAAACTCTGAACTCTACCTCATAGCTGTCGAGTCAGAAACAACATATAATTGGCCTTCCATTGGGGCTTTGGAAGCTGTTAAGTGCACAGAGGAGATTGCCAGTTTTTCTGCTGAAACGCCACTGGTAAATTTGAATCAACAGAGAGCTACTGCTTTTAGATTAGCAGTATAATGACATTCACCAGTTTACTGAGTGTCATTCATTTCATAAGGGTTTTGTCACAAGCTATGTGTATGATTTATATATGGAGCAAAATCAATGGGCTACCTCCTCCGTTTCCTGGTACCCAGCAGAGCAAATGTACATACGCAGAGTTTCAAAAGGAGCAGGCTTAGGCAGAGGCAAGGACAGTCTCAAGAAATGTTTTACCTAGTTCTTCACTTTTTAAACTCATACCTTTAGGTTATTTTTTAATGCAACTCAAAACCCAGAGACGATTTCCCTTCCTAATTCTCTTGGTTCAGGATCAGACAGGGTTCTATGCTATTTTACATAGGGTTGCTATTAGTTTCAGGCAAATTGATGGCACATGACAACAACAACAATTCCCTCAGGTGATATTGTTGTTAGGTGCTATGGCATTGACTACAATGCATGGTGAAGAGCAGATCTGAACTCTATCCTATCCTGTGCCATTCTCACCACCCCTGATACACTCAAGTCCATTGCTATAGCTATCGTGTCAATCCATCTTGCTGGAAGTCTTCCTTCCTTTTGTTAATCCTCTATCCTTCCAACCAGGATGTCCTTTTCTAAGAACTGGCCTCTCCTCACAACATATCTGATGAATGAGATGAATTTGCACCATCTTCACTTCCAAGGAGAACATCCTGGTTACACCTTCTCCAAGATAGACTTGTTCTTTTGGCTGTTGTTTTTTGTTAAGTGCCGTCAAGTCACGGCCAACTCATAGTGAGCCTACGAATGAAAGACCTGAACACTTGTATAACTTTCATCGTTTCTCCAGGTTCATAGAGTTTCCAGAAGCAAGCTATTTAGGAAGTGGATGCCACTCCTGCTTCCAAACTTGTTTTAATCAGGAAGCTCCACCAAACACTGTCCACGATGGGTAACCATTATCACATTTGACACATCAGTGTCACAGTGTTCAGCTTCACAGAAACCATGAGTTACCTCTGTACAGCAAATGGACAGACCAGTGCTATACCACTTAGAGGAATGTTTTAACAATGTTTTTTGACTATTGATATAATTCATATTCAGTTCTCTTCTCAACACGCCAACTCAAAGGCACCTATTCTGTCATCTTTAGTCAATGTCAAACTTTCAGATGTATTATAAGTGACTGAAAATGGCATGGCTTGAATCAGTCACACCTCATCTTCCAATTGCCATCTCTGTTTGTCAGCACCTCAGAGGTTATTGAGAGCCAACTTCCCTAATGCAACATATATTTTGATTTCTTGAAGGCTGTTGCCAAGAATGATGCAGAAGATTTGGTTACTCAGCTGCTATTGGGAAGGTTGGAGGTTTGAGTTCATCCCTGGATATCTTAGCAAACTCTAGTGCTCTAGTGGTAAGGAGCTGCACTGTCAAGCCGAAAGTGCCCGGTTTGAACCTCACAGCTGCCCCACATGAGAAAATGGGCACTCTCTTCTTGTGTATTTTAAAGCCTCTGAAAACTCAATGGAGTGTCACCTGTCAGTGGGCTGTGACTTGATAGAAGATGTGTGTTGAGTATGTCTGAAAATTCAACCTCTGAAAAACTGAGGCACACAGTTCCACTCTGATGGCATCTGCACGAGCCACAGTGGACTAGCTGTTGTTGGTGTTGTGTGCTGTCAAGTCAGAACCGACTCATGGCTGGTCCTCTAGTGGGTTTTCAGAAACAGTACACAGCACCGGAGCCTGACCTCCATCTCCTGTGGAGCAGCTGGTGGATTTGAACCATGTGCCTTTGGGATTGCTATGTAGCTTTTTACCACTAGGCCTCCAGAGCTCCCTAAAGGACTACTTGCTGTTGTTAGGTGCCCTTGAGTTGAGTACGACTCAGAATGACCCTACGAAGACTAGATCTGAACCCTGCATTTAGCTGTGCCATCCTTAACATCTCTGCCATACTTAAGCTTATTGCTGTAGTCTATTTATTATTATTATTAATTGCTAGAGGAAGACCCTCAATGAGATGGATTGATTGAGTGATTGGGGTAGTGGGAGTAGGTGTGTCAGAGACAGTGAGATTGGCACAGGATATTGCAGGGATTAGGGCTCTTGTACATAGATAGGGTCACTATGAGTCGCAAGTGACTCGATGGCACATAACAACAACAAGCCAATCCACCTGGCTCAGGGTCTTGCTCTACTTTGCTATCCCCCCTACTTTTCCAAACATGATGTTCCTCTTTAAGGAATAACTTTTCCTAGTAATATGCTCAAAGAATCTGAGATGAAACTTTATCATCTCTGCCTCCAAGGGGCGCTCTGGCTGCACCATCACCTCCTTTTGTTAATCCTCCCTGCTGCTTCCCCAATTCCAACTTCTTATGCCTTGGGTCTAGCTGTTCTTTGGCAAACAATTTACAAATAAAATTTCAAAGTCTAAGGGTACACTTGCAGCCTTTGAATTAAGCAATAGAGAACTACCTCCAAAAGTTGGAAAATGTCTATTAATGATTGACAAATAATGGAATTGTCCGGGTGTAGAAGGCAAGGCACAAAGACAAGAAAAGCCCACACTGAGATTGCAGTCACGGCAAAAATGTTTCCTCGGCTGGTGTGCATTAGCGACTACGAACAGCACGCGAAAGAAGTTCTGCAAAAGTCCGTCTACGACTATTACAGGTCAGGTGCCAATGATCAGGAGACCCTGGCTGATAACGTGGCAGCCTTTTCCAGGTGAGAACTTCATATTTTCAAGCACTTGACTTGTATAGACACTGTGACATCTGCAGAGCTGCTGGTGTTACTTCGACATTGTGGAATTGTTTGTCTACATATGTGTTTGTTTGCTGTTTTGTTGATTGCCTTTAAGTCCAGCACCACTCATCGTGACCCTATGAACAAAAGACCTGAAGCCCTTTGATAACTATTGTTTCTCAAAGTTCATAGTGTTTCCAGAGGCAGGTTGTTTAGGAAGAGGATGCCACTTCTTGAGGCTGTGAAACATCTTTCTCTGGCTTCTGTCGTCATCGTCTTCTTCTTCTCCTTCTTTCTTTTTTAGCTGACCCTCCTGCAAGTTTATTATTATTATTATTATTTATGAAAGTTTACAGAGACTTTGGATTTCCATTCATCCATTGTTGCAATTTTCTCCTTGCCCAACCTGCCCCTCCCCACCCAGTACACTCTTCTCTTTGAAAAGTAAAAGAAAAATTATTTCATGGTTATACAATCCCTCCCCCAAGTCCACTCCACTATACAGCCTTCGTCTGGACGCCTGTCATGACAATAATACCGATTCATATATCCCTTTTAAACAGTTCTCTCCCTCAGCTGTTTCAATGCATCTATCTTCTTTTAAAGGTTTTAATCCTGGACTCTTTAAAAACTGACCACCAAAAAGTTGACCCTAGTTTTCCTCTGTTGGAAGTCTGTGGATAATTACTTCAACTGGATATAAAAGTGGTGATAAATCCTGAAGTTTTCTTTTTCTCCAAATATGTCAGTGAATGCCTATGTCCAGGGCATAGAAACAGCAGGGAGTGTAAGATAGCCACCTTATCTGGTTGGCTAAAATCGGATTGTCGCCCCAATGTCCCCATCCCCCTGACTTTCCGTTATCATTCATTTTGATGGCTGTTGTCTACGCTTTCACTTTAGATTTCAATTTGTCTCGGGAGCGTTAATCTTTGAACTCGGCTGTTTCATCTCTCCTCCTCAAAGCTTCATCTTTCTTCCCAAATGAGGTTTTCCCCTTGCCGTTCATATATCAAAGCCCAAGATGGTGGATGTCATGGTTTATGTGTTCTGTTTGTAATAAAAACAACCAGCAAAGGAACTTTAAAGGAGTGGGTGTTTTGTTTTTTCCCCTCTCAGCAGCTACAAACACAGTTTATTTGCTGCCGTGGGGGAGGAGAGCCCCACACACTCTGAACTCTTTCTGTCTCCTTCTCCCCCCCATCAGGACCCTTAGCACAGCTGATGAATTTTGTGTGTGCTCATTGGTGGTGATAAATTAAAGATAAAAGGCAACAAGGAATCAAAGAGGAACAAATCGGTCTTCTTTCTGAACTTCTTCTGTAATTTAGAGCAAAATCACTTTTCTTCATGTAAGTTGTTGTAAATTGTCGTTGTGAGCTGTCATCAGTTCAATTGCTACTCTGAAGAGCTCCACGGGGCTTTCAAGGCTGTTGACTCTCAAAAGCTAAGTGCTCCTAAAATGCCCTTGGGTGGGTTTGAACCAATAACCTTTTGTTTGGTAGTGGAGCTTTTAACCATTTCTGCCACATGGGAACCCTTGGATGTAAATTAGGAGGTATTTCTTTATGCTAACGCAAGTAATTTAGAGCAAGAAGTATTGACTCTGAGGTTAAAAATGGAGATGGGGGAAGGGTAAGTCTCTGTTACAGACTTCCCAGAGACTAAAGACTGATTTACTATTAGAATTACAAACGAAATTGGGGCGAACATTGTTCTAATTGGTACAGTACTTGTCTGTCAGTTTGTTACTGGGATAACTTGGGGTTGCTGTGATATTGAAAGCTGTGCTACTCATGTGTCAAATGCCATAAGGGTTACCCAGGTTAGTTTTAGTAGAGCTCTCAGATTAAGACAGACTGAGAAGATGGATTGGCCAGCCACTTCTTAAAAACTAGGCCTTTGAAAACCCTATCAACACTAGAGGGACACAGAGGGTTATAGTAGCACAGTGATAAGAGTCCAGATTGGAAATCAGTTGACCCAGTGACTACTGCAATGGCCTCTAGTGTGTCAGGAAGCGTGAAGATAGCACACGATAGGACAGAGTTCAGATCTGTTGTTTGTAGGGTTGTCATGAGTTGTACTTGACTCAACAGCACCTAAAAACAACAACAACAACCAAACTGAATAAGTGCTGAGGAGACATAAAGAGAAATACTAAGAGTGAAGTGGCCTGATCTGTTACAATCATTTGTTAAAACATCAAACCTACCACTCACTTCTATTAGTTGCTTCAGACTCCTCCAACCCTCTACCATCTAAGCTCCTCTTTCACTGGGTGACTGCGGATGACCCTTGACTCCTCATCCTGGGTCTTATAGTTGATCATGTGGAAGTAGTCATAGATTTCCTGTCAAGGTTGTGGTGGCTTTTGGTGGGTGATGTAAAAGAAATCAATCTGAAACCTCTCATTCTGATTCAAATGAAAACTGCACAAACAACCAGATTTCAGATCCCCTGTGGTTAAGCCATGGCACGTCTAAGAAACATATTTATGACACTTTGGCACCCCCCCCTGCTGCCCAACTCCCCAAGAAAAGCAAAAGGACAATTCAGACTGACAGCTCTCAGCTCTGTCAACCACTTTTTGTTTTTTGTTTTTTTCTATAATTATATTTTATTAATTTTCATAAACATTTACAGAGATTTTGGGCTTCCACTCATTCATTGTTGCACTATTCTCTCTACCC